AACCCCCCCCCCCCCCCACCCACCCCCCAGCCCCTCGCAGAATATTTTGATGCTTTGAAACGTAATACTTCAGGTAGAAAAACGTTTACAGTAATACTAATTTTCTAATCAGATCTAGCTCTTGCAACGGCAAGAGGGTGTAGCTACTCATCCTAACCAAATACAAGGGTTTCCCGCAAGTTTGCCTTCTTTGGGGCATGTCCCCTCGGGATATGTCCCCTCCCCGCCCCCCCGTCCCCGAATATTTTGATGCTTTGAAACGCCATTTGAGAGTTCGGAAAATTGACCGTAATTTATGTGCTTGTTTTTTTGTATACCTGAAGAAACAAGAAAGGAATCATTGGCAAACTCGTTGCATTTTCTTGCAGGGGAAAACGCCCCTCGAGGGAAACTAACATTTCATTCTACACCATATATAGGAAGAAATATAACTGACCTGGGATTTTTTTAAAAAAAAGTTGTAGGGGCCCAGAGAGACCCTGCCCAGAGAAGAGGTACGTCAAAATTCCCCCAGGGGAGGCAAAATAACTCTCCAGGGTTGGTTTCATCAGTTCTGTTACAGAGAGGTGTCACATCCTAATTAAACAAACATGACATTTAAAAATAAAACCCTAACATAAATATGAATCTATTTTGAACAACCAAATAATAGCCGGTCAGTCTCATCAAAGTTGAAAGAGGGGAATGACTATGAATCCCGCAAAAAATCAAAGGAAAAAACAAAGATGCCAAGATTTATCAGTTTTGGATGGTCCACGCCTACGTACAATCTTTTGTTTTTCGTCATACACTATGCATGAATTACGTAACCAAAACGTTTCTGTTGGTTGGTTCCTCAGTCAGTACTAAACAACTATTATGTTTTGTGCTCAGTCAAGGTAAAAAAAAGAGAACAAAAACATACAACAAAAAACGTTGTCGGGTTTCATAACCATTCCCCTCTGTTAGCCACAGTCTCATCTTTTTTTTGAAAAGAACAACTAAATTTTCACTCAAACAACTGAAGGCGATGGTTAAGCCATTCGCATACAACAATTCGGCCATTACTTAGAACTGCTACAGACCGCGGGGAACCAAATTCTCCTAAATTACTGCCCTTTGTTCCAAACTTACCAACAAACTTCCCATTCAGTTCGAACACTTGTATTCTATTATTACCTGAATCACAGACCATCAGCTGTCCTGACTTGTTCACTGACAAAAAACAGGGCTTATTTAACTCCCCGTCCCTTCCACCCTGTTTTCCAAACTTGTACTGAAAGTTTCCATATCTGTCGTAAACCTTTATACAATGTTCTTCGTAGTCTGGCACTATGAGATATCTATCACACTGAACACAGTGGATAGGATAAGTAAAAGAGCCCTGCCCACCTATCTTCATTAAAAACTTGCCATCAGGAGAAAAGATTTTAATGAGTTTGTTACCTGCATCAGCAACAATGATATTTCCATCACTGTCTACAGATAAACCACAAGGATTAGAGAGCTGACTATCAAGGCTTCCATACCCACCAAACATACCCACGTGCTCACCCTCCCCACTGAAAATCTGGATGCGATGTTTTCCGTTGTTTGCTACGAAAATATTTCCATTTTTATGGAAAGTTATTCCGGTAGGATAATCAAATTCACCCGCGTTGTGTCCCTCCCGACCAAAGGATCTTAAGTATTTTCCATCACTATTAAAGACTTGAACCCTCTGGTTTAAACCATCCGTTACAGCTATCTCGTCTCTGACATTCACTTCCACCCCCCAGGGATAATTAAACATTCCCACAGACGAACCTTGTTTTCCAAAAGATAGAACAGGTCTTAAGTGAAACAATTTAACCTGAAGAGAAAAGGGGCTTTTACAAATATGTTTTCCGTTTACCTTTACTGTCACTTTGTATTTGCCTTGATCTTTGGGTGAATAAGAGATTTTGTAGCTTCCATCCTTATTGTCATTTATTCGTACTTCCGTCGCGCATTCTCGTCCTTGTTCGTCCGTGATCTCTACCGTTACACGGTCATGTTTACTGTAACACTGCTCTCCCTCTGCGTTTCTTGTGGTCACAACAAACTGTTCTTCACCTCCAACAGTTCCTTCTTCGAGTCCTTTGCCCTCAGCGACAGAATGACTTGCTTCAGTTTGCTGCAGTAGTTTTAGTGTTCCAATTTCTTCGGCGTTGACAGTCTCTAACATCTTTTGATTTTCCACGAAAACCAAAATGGGCAGACCTTTGAGATCACGCTTAGATGGCTTAGTAGTTTGATCGACTCCCTTCAAGATTGTTTGTAATGACTTTTTCACTTGAACGACTTCAGCGTTTGCACTTCGTGTCAAAACTTTGTCAGCTTTATCCAACGATGATTTGATCTCCTCTATTTGATTCTCGGTTTCGCTCTTTTGGGTTGTTAGACTGTCGAGTGATTTCTTTGTTTGGTCTTCCACCGCTGCAAAAATATTTTGCTTCTTCGCTTCAATATTGGCAATTAAATCGTCCACAGTTCCCTGAACGTCTCTCTTCACCTCTTCGCATTGTTGTATCAGCTTCGCGTAGTCTTCATCAAGTTTAGTAACAGCGTCCATCTTTGCTTGTAAATTACGCCTCTGTGTTTCAATCATTGATTTCATTTCAATCTTTTGTCTTTCAGCTTCTTCTTCTATGTGCTCTAAAGCATGGCCGCTGTGGCTGAGGGTGACACAAGTTTGGCAGACCGCCAGTTCACAGTTCTTACAAAAGTACTTTAGCTCTTCTTTCTCGTGCCGTTGTTTTGCACAGAACACAGGTCGCTTTAGCACATCCTCATAGTCCATGTCTTGAAAGTCATTCAGCGCCAGAACACGGTGATCTTTATTGTTTCGCATGATGTTGTGTCCAGTTACGCACTCTTGACAATAAAATATGCAACAGTGGAAACAGTAAGAAGTCTCGGAGCTTTTCTTCTCGCAGTTCCCACATCTCACTTGGCTGCTTCGGCACTCTTTTATTGCCAGCACATCAATCAAGCCATTCAGATAAAAACTGGTTGGAAGATCCTTCAGATCACCTCTTTCAGGTACTTTGCTAACAAGTTGACATTTCGGGCATCTGATGGTGTCGCGGCCATGGCTCGTCCTATGCCATTGTTTCAAGCAGTGCAGACAGAAACTGTGTAAGCATGGCAGCTGTTTTGGATCGGTAAATATGTCCGAACACACCGAGCAGCACACTTCTTCACGGAGATTATGGAGCAACGTTTTGACATCCATGTCGTGTTCAGAAACAAGCGAATAAAGCAAGGTTTTCGCCGAACTCGACTCGGGACAATGAAGTCTTGTGACTTTCTTTTTTTAGGTCTTCTTGGAATCGTGGCTGTTTATTATGATAATCTTTTCGCTTATTAGAACCAATCATGGAACGTTGTTTTAAGAGCCTTTGTCATTTTGTCTTGGATACTGATTCCTAAGATTGTGACCCTGAGGCACTCCGTTTAAGCTCGTTGATCAGGTGTCACTAAAACATTGATCAGAACAAAAGAGTACTGCTTTAAGGTCTGTATTTCAATTCCTTTCTGTCTGAATAGACTTCACTTGTTTTGATCACGCACAAACGATGGACAGCTCATTTTGTTATGGTTTGTTGGTCAGACAGAACTTCAAGCTATGGTTTGAACTTACAATCTCTACTGACTCGCGAAGACTTGCGGTTATCTGCGAGTCACGCGTCCCTCGTGAGCTGGTTCGCGGGCCGCGCGTCGATCTCTCACGAGAGGAAAAATGCTTCTTGGCAGTCTGTTATGATCAAAACTACCTATGTCATTATGGACTGTAATTTTCATATATGGCAATGGCATCAGTTATCTATTTTCTAAAATCTTAAGCTTATCCTGACTTGCATGGCATAAAACAGTCAAGA